CTAGGTTGTCAGACGAAATTAGATAGTTAGTCTTATAGCAACACATTTCCTAGCCTATGCAGTTTCTAATCTACCAACATCCTATTCTATTCTAAGAGGATTCACTAGCATTATTGCTTTCACTGTCATCACTACTGCTATCAGAATCCCAACCAGTAGACCATTGGGATAAAGGGGCTTGTTTCAGTAGCGGGTCAGTGCGCCCATAACCCCCCAGGCGAACGCGCCTGTAACCCCCCCTAGGATCGATCGGGGATCTCACAGTGTAGCTCTACTGACACCCCCCCACACTGGGAGGCCCAGGACTAAGCATAGCGGCACCGGCCTACATGTGCATACACCGGGAATCGAACCCGAGACCGCTCTGATACCATGTCAGAATCCCAACCACTAGACCATTGGGATAAAAGGGCTTGTTTCAGTAGCGGGTCAGTGCGCCCATAACCCCCCAGGCGAACGCGCCTGTAACCCCCCCTAGGATCGATCGGGGATCTCACAGTGTAGCTCTACTGACAACTGCCACTATCATCATCACTACCACTGCCACTCTTAGAGGTTTCAACAATTGTGGCTCTGTTTTTGCCCTTCCTCCAGGTAGGCAGTTCCCATGCAGCTTCTTCTGCATCCCTCTCTCTCTCCCTTGTTGCAGCCTCTTCTGCCTCTTCCTGTGCGCGTGTAGCTGCTGCTGCTGCTTCTGATGCTGCAGCGCGTTTCTTCAACTGATGGGACCGCCGTCGCTTCACCGGGCGTGATCCTTCAATCATGACCACCTCATGCGCCGGCCGCCTCTTTTTGCCGCCATAAAACCTATCCACCAGCTCCTCTATATTCAGCTCGTAGTCCAGAAGAGACACCGTCATCAGGTCGCCCAGAGTCGTGCCGCACAAGCTGCCGCGCACCCAGCTCTTAATGATGTTCTGACGGCTGAAGCCGCGCTCACACTCAACAGTGCTGAGCGGTAGCACAGCAACAGCAATCCACAGGCGGCCGAGGTTCGGATAGGCAGACTCCCAATCTGGCGTTGAGAGCACCTGAGAGAGGCTGTCGTGGAAGGACAGGTCCTCGTGGTGAGTGGAGAGGATTGTGGTGAAGCTGGTGAGCTCTTTGGCGGCTTTGCCCCAGTCGACACCTGATGGGGAGGGTAGGGAAGGGTGAGGGACATCGGGTATCACAGCAGAGAGTACATTAAGGCACGGCAGCAATAACAGTTACATTAATGATACGCTCACCCCAAAGCAAAGCGCTTACCAAGGAGGGTGTCTGGATGGCTGGGCTTCTTCTTGAACAGGTTGCGCAGCGACTGAAGCCATTCGGGAAATCGGCGCGCTCTCTTAACGCGCGAACGAGGGTACCGTCCCTGCCGAAACAGACGACTCCCGTCCAACGACTTTAGACTCTTCATGCGATCGTCGATGTAAAACACGGTCCTCCCAGCGAACTTGGATGCCGCCTCCACGCACGACGCCAGGTCGCCCCCAAACTTCTCCTTCCCGATGAAGTCCTCGTGCAGCACGTACGAGTGAGTTACGGGTGTTCCGACGCCGTCAATGCTTTCCAACTTCACCTCCCGATTCTCGGTGCTCCCGTGGTTCTTCAGAAACGTCGCTAGACGACCACTGTTGTCGCCGAAGGTGGAGCCGTACTCCACGTAGCGACTTGTCAAGCACAGGGTGGTGTGTTGCACCATCGACCGAACCTACGTCGCATCGAGCTGCACATTTCACACAAACATAATTAGTCACAGCACGGAAAGCCAGGGGGAAATCAGGCAAGACATCGGGAATCACGCGTCCTTACTTGACGTCGCTGGAACTTGAGATTGAGACTGTTCAGCTCCTGAAGCACGTCAACCAGAAAGAAAAGGAAGAACTGAAATTTCACACTGGTAACAAGAGTGTACGTTGCCTTGTCGTACTCGTGCAGCAGGACAACGGCAGCAGGCAGCACGTCAGCAAAGCGCTCGATGGCGTCACCGCGTGAAAGCCAGCGAACGTCTTTAATCCCTTGCATCTCCAGGTTGGTCTGTGTAATCAGTTCCTGCAGATTCTTGAATCGCGCATGCTGCACGATGCTGCGGCCGAGAATGTCCGCAAAGGCCCGGACGACTTTGCCGACGACGTTAAACTCGGGGAACTCTTCAGCAGCATCTTTAGCAGCCAGAGCCTCCCTGCAGTTGTAACAAGAGTAGGATTAGTGGGCGAGTTACACAACACAAAAATAAACACAATGATAAACTACCTGTGGGCAACGCAATGGCAAGGCACTATGTGCGGCACCCGTGTTCGTAATCGCGCCACCAGACCTGTCTGCCCGCCCGTCATAACGCTCGCGCCGTCCGTGGTCATGCCGCTGATCCTCTGCAGTTCGAGGCCGCAAGCAGCAAAGTGTGTCAGCAGGACGGCCTCCAGCGACCCAGCGTCGCACTTCTCAACGGACAAGTTGGCGAAGAACTCGGTAACCACCATCGTGCCACGGAGAAACGTGGCATACACAATCATGTGTTTGCCACGCCTACGGTCGGTGCATTCGTCAAGTTGAAGGCCAACGTAGGGACTGAGGCTGATGTGTTGCATCTGCTTCGCTTTCAAGTAGCACACCAGCGCCTCGACCAACTGCTTGAAACCGTACCTGCGTCAAAGAGTACAACAAAGAATTAGTGAATAAGGGGTGTTTAAATACAACATTGATGTGAACAGGCTAAACTTACGTAGAACAATAAGTCCCTTGGTCCTTCGCCGGCATGTCTGGCGTTCCCATCTCTGCCATAAACGGCACGAGTGTCATGAACATGACAATGGGGGTGTCGGATTTGCATAGGAAACGCACAGTCAACAACAGCTTTATCAACCGCCGCGTTTCCGCACTCTTATCTCCAAAGTTGGAGATAGCTGCCTGCTTCTTCTGCGGGCCTTCACGCTGCTCCAACCGTCCCTTCGCCTCCCAGTGCCGGATGCTCCACTGATGTTTCCGCATCGTTTGCTTCTGTATGTCGATGCCGCCCTCGCCCCGAGCGCTGTACTGTGACTCAGGATCTGCGTATACCATGCAGATCTTGCACCGCATGCAAGGTTGACCTTCGGATGTGTCACCGATGATGAGCCAAGGGAAGTGGCGGTTCCACTGCTGTTTGGCTTTCAGCTGCAGCTCCTCTAGCGTCAAAATCCGGGGACCGGTCTTCTCTGCTCCACGGCTCTCCCCGCCATCTTTCTCAGTAGTGGGATTCCCTGTAGAGGAAGGGCTAGGGCGCTTCGAAAATGAAAGCTTATGTTGCACATATTTAGTCTTGCCAGGAAAACGTGGCGGAAGGAACGGGGAGCGGGATTGAAGGGATTCTTTTCACCAGGTGATGCAGATGCGCCAGGTTGACCGGATGACGACGAACCCTCAGGGTGACTTGTTGAGCTTGGTGATCGTACGGGTGAAAATGGTATTAGCGGCACGGCATCCATCTCAGCGAAAGGGTAAGGGTGCTCGGGAGAATCGGGTTTCCCATTCTCACAGACCGAAGGAGCAATAGGAGCAGCTGTGACTGGAGTAGGTGTGAAACCCCCACCGGTTAGGAAATCCAAGCCAGTGCGTGGGCGTGGCAATGCACTGGAAGGAGGTGAATCATGCAGAGTGGATGCTGGAGGGGCCTCCGTGCGAGGGTCTACAGCCATCTTGGTGGAACTACAAACTGACTAACTCTGGCTCACGAGGGTAAGATGAAGGACACCTGACGCAGAGGGGAGTGAGGGGGGACCGTCCGAACCGTGCCGCATGCAGGAACGTCTCGTTCGCTGCTGGAAGCAGCCATGCCATCAATCCCTTGCTGACCCGATGCGCACTGAAGGCTGTCGGTGTTGCAACTGCAGCCTTCTGCTGTGCGCTGGCACGAATATGCCAAACGAACTGGCAAGATTCGTGCCAGCGGGGTGACTGCGGCGCATTTGACGTGCGGTGTTGTCACCGACCAAAGGCAATGTACAGCCTGGCGGTGGCAGCACGGTAACGCGGCGGGTGGCAAGTCTCGTCCGTAACATTGGGCATCAAGCTATGTGGCCAACTAGCCAGGTGGGCAACTGGCCAGGTGGGGGGATTTGTCTGTTTCAGACGAGAAAAAACTCGTTGTCTGCAATCTCAGACGAACTGTATAAGGCTGTCTGAGAAATCAGACGAATTTGAAAACTCTGTCCTAAACCATCAGAAGAAATTAAACAGGTCGTCTACGACATCAGATGAAGTAGTAAAAAAATGTTCAAAATCCAGAAAATCAGACCTAAATTTTCTGATAAAGTAAGCCCTGATGCTAAATACACACAACGACAGGTGCTGTAAACGACCTAAGGTGGCTTGCACAGGCGCATGCCCTTGTACAAGCGGTTGTTTGTACACACATAACCCGAATTGTATTGCGCCATTAGTCTTGACGAGCTCTTAAAGTAGAGAGCAATGATGCGCGCACATGTGTCTCCCGTCACAACCGTGTACTGCAGGTTTGTCACACATCGAGAAGCTCCGAGTAGCATACTTGATCTGCCACCACGCACACACACCTGCACACAGATCCAATGAAATGGGGGACATGAAAGAGTTGGGGAGAATTGGGGATGGGGAAAGATGGCGTGCGGGGAGGGATGGGGGTGGAGGAAAGGGAAGCTCCATTCATTTCTGATATCATGTAGCACCTCCACTGGGTATACCCTTTGGTAGACTGAAAGTGTACACTGAGCATGAATCAGCAGAAAAACGGCGACGAAAGGCAAAGAGCCCCTCCCAGAGCCCCTCCCAGATTTGCAGAGATATGGCTATGGCCACAAACGCCAGAGCGTCCTTTTCCAGGGTAAGGGTGAAAGGCATAGGGGATTGGGGGAAGGATGTAATCGTAACTGCTATGCACGCAACACAAGGCCAAGAGTAGTGGCAGGAGCTGTGCATGAGAAGGGCCTTTCTTGTTGGCCTAGAAGCACTTGCTCCCCAACATCGCCTCAAAAGTCGCCTCGTTACCCACAATTCTTTACCTGTTGGCCTAGCAGCATCTGTTCGCCCACGTTGCAGTTGATCCCTGGGTTCAATGTGTAGAACTCCTGTGCGCTCAGAGGGGGGCGTGCAGCCCTCATTATAGTGTCGCAGCTGTCGCCCTCCGCTACAGTCACAAACTCCTGGCACGCTGGCATATCTGGAGTGCCATGCGCCATGCACACCTGCACGGACACGAAACACAGTTCATTAATAACAAAGAGAAAGCAGCAGGCGTTAGCACAGACTCCAGGGATACTGAAAAGCACACACTCAAGGTTATGTCGCCTTGCACCATCTAAGCTCAGTCGTACGTGCTGACCAACCTGCAGCCATAAAAAATGCTGGTCGCCATTCCGCTGGAGGGGAACTGCGACAGACATGCTGTGATCTGAACCCATGCTCTCACACGTGATTGATGCAGCCATGCTCTCACACATGATTGATGCAGCCATGCTCTCACACATGATTGATGCAGCCATGCTCTCACACATGAATGATGCAGCCATGCTCTCACACATGAATGATGCAGCCATGCTCTCACACATGATTGATGCAGCCATGCTCTCACACATGATTGATGCAGCCATGCTCTCACACATGATTGATGCAGCCATGCTCTCACACATGAATGATGCAGCCATGCTCTCACACATGATTGATGCAGCCATGCTCTCACACATGATTGATGCAGCCATGCTCTCACACATGAATGATGCAGCCATGCTCTCACACATGAATGATGCAGCCATGCTCTCACACATGAATGATGCAGCCATGCTCTCACACATGAATGATGCAGCCGTGCTCTCACACATGAATGATGCAGCCATGCTCTCACACATGATTGATGCAGCCATGCTCTCACACATGATTGATGCAGCCATGCTCTCACACATGATTGATGCAGCCATGCTCTCACACATGATTGATGCAGCCATGCTCTCACACATGAATGATGCAGCCATGCTCTCACACATGAATGATGCAGCCATGCTCTCACACATGATTGATGCAGCCATGCTCTCACACATGATTGATGCAGCCATGCTCTCACACATGATTGATGCAGCCATGCTCTCACACATGATTGATGCAGCCATGCTCTCACACATGAATGATGCAGCCATGCTCTCACACATGAATGATGCAGCCGTGCTCTCACACATGAATGATGCAGCCGTGCTCTCACACATGAATGATGCAGCCATGCTCTCACACATGATTGATGCAGCCATGCTCTCACACATGATTGATGCAGCCATGCTCTCACACATGATTGATGCAGCCATGCTCTCACACATGATTGATGCAGCCATGCTCTCACACATGATTGATGCAGCCATGCTCTCACACATGATTGATGCAGCCATGCTCTCACACATGAATGATGCAGCCATGCTCTCACACATGAATGATGCAGCCATGCTCTCACACATGATTGATGCAGCCATGCTCTCACACATGAATGATGCAGCCGTGCTCTCACACATGAATGATGCAGCCATGCTCTCACACATGATTGATGCAGCCATGCTCTCACACATGATTGATGCAGCCATGCTCTCACACATGATTGATGCAGCCATGCTCTCACACATGATTGATGCAGCCATGCTCTCACACATGAATGATGCAGCCATGCTCTCACACATGATTGATGCAGCCATGCTCTCACACATGATTGATGCAGCCATGCTCTCACACATGATTGATGCAGCCATGCTCTCACACATGATTGATGCAGCCATGCTCTCACACATGAATGATGCAGCCATGCTCTCACACATGAATGATGCAGCCATGCTCTCACACATGAATGATGCAGCCATGCTCTCACACATGAATGATGCAGCCGTGCTCTCACACATGAATGATGCAGCCATGCTCTCACACATGATTGATGCAGCCATGCTCTCACACATGATTGATGCAGCCATGCTCTCACACATGATTGATGCAGCCATGCTCTCACACATGATTGATGCAGCCATGCTCTCACACATGAATGATGCAGCCATGCTCTCACACATGATTGATGCAGCCATGCTCTCACACATGAATGATGCAGCCATGCTCTCACACATGATTGATGCAGCCATGCTCTCACACATGATTGATGCAGCCATGCTCTCACACATGATTGATGCAGCCATGCTCTCACACATGATTGATGCAGCCATGCTCTCACACATGATTGATGCAGCCATGCTCTCACACATGAATGATGCAGCCATGCTCTCACACATGAATGATGCAGCCATGCTCTCACACATGAATGATGCAGCCGTGCTCTCACACATGATTGATGCAGCCATGCTCTCACACATGATTGATGCAGCCATGCTCTCACACATGATTGATGCAGCCATGCTCTCACACATGAATGATGCAGCCATGCTCTCACACATGAATGATGCAGCCATGCTCTCACACATGAATGATGCAGCCATGCTCTCACACATGAATGATGCAGCCATGCTCTCACACATGAATGATGCAGCCATGCTCTCACACATGAATGATGCAGCCATGCTCTCACACATGATTGATGCAGCCATGCTCTCACACATGATTGATGCAGCCATGCTCTCACACATGAATGATGCAGCCATGCTCTCACACATGAATGATGCAGCCGTGCTCTCACACATGAATGATGCAGCCATGCTCTCACACATGAATGATGCAGCCATGCTCTCACACATGAATGATGCAGCCATGCTCTCACACATGATTGATGCAGCCATGCTCTCACACATGATTGATGCAGCCATGCTCTCACACATGAATGATGCAGCCATGCTCTCACACATGATTGATGCAGCCATGCTCTCACACATGAATGATGCAGCCATGCTCTCACACATGAATGATGCAGCCATGCTCTCACACATGATTGATGCAGCCATGCTCTCACACATGATTGATGCAGCCATGCTCTCACACATGATTGATGCAGCCATGCTCTCACACATGATTGATGCAGCCATGCTCTCACACATGAATGATGCAGCCATGCTCTCACACATGATTGATGCAGCCATGCTCTCACACATGAATGATGCAGCCATGCTCTCACACATGAATGATGCAGCCATGCTCTCACACATGATTGATGCAGCCATGCTCTCACACATGATTGATGCAGCCATGCTCTCACACATGATTGATGCAGCCATGCTCTCACACATGATTGATGCAGCCATGCTCTCACACATGATTGATGCAGCCATGCGAGAGCACCCATGCTCACACATGCCTTGAGCACACATGCTCTCACACATGCCTTGAGCACCCATGCTCTCACACATGCCTTGAGCACCCATGCTCTCACACATGATTGATGCAGCCATGCTCTCACACATGAATGATGCAGCCATGCTCTCACACATGAATGATGCAGCCATGCTCTCACACATGAATGATGCAGCCATGCTCTCACACATGAATGATGCAGCCATGCTCTCACACATGAATGATGCAGCCATGCTCTCACACATGAATGATGCAGCCATGCTCTCACACATGAATGATGCAGCCATGCTCTCACACATGAATGATGCAGCCATGCTCTCACACATGATTGATGCAGCCATGCGAGAGCACCCATGCTCACACATGCCTTGAGCACACATGCTCTCACACATGCCTTGAGCACCCATGCTCTCACACATGCCTTGAGCACCCATGCTCTCACACATGCCTAAATCACCCATGCTCTCACATGCCTTGAGCACCCATGCTCGCACATGCCTTGAGCAACTATACTACCTACCATACATGTCTCCCAACTGTTGGCCAGGCTGCAGCATTCCACGCGGCAAGTCGTCATTCAGCTTGAGGAATTGTGAGCGAGTCATGCTGAATGCTGCTGTTATGCCCTCACACAACCCTGAACAGCCACCCTCTCACACATGCCTTGAGCCTGCCATCCCCACCTGTTGCCCCGCCTTTAGCCGTCCACACGGCAGGTCGTCGTTCAGCTTGAGGAATTCCGAGCGAGTCATGCTGAATGCTGCTGCAATGCTCTCACACGTGTCATCCTGCCATTGGTCGCACGCACAGAAGCGAATGGCGTGAGGGATCCCTAACCAGCAGAAACCAGCTGTGTCAGACTGCCGATCGAGCAAGCATCTCCGCAAGCATGGCAAGGCTTGTGAGGCGCCTCAACAGAAGCAAACGGCGTGAGGGATCCCTAACCAGCATAAGGGATCAAGCGTGCATCTCTACAAGCACGGATTGAGCATTTCAGCATCAAGTATAGCTAATGCGGATCAAGTGCGGCGAACTGATGTTCTGTGGGATCACAGTAGTGATAGTATAGGGAGTAATCTTGAGCTTACGACAGTGACAGTAGAGAGAGTGGCCTTGGACTTACAGCGGTGACAGTATAGGGAGTGGCGCACAGGGTGCCATCGCTGACATAAATATCGTCTCCAATTGCAAGGCTGGAGCAGTTGAGCTTCTGGGGGTGGGGGAAAGAGAGGGGCAAACAAGAAGGGCGACTGAGGCAGGGGCAGTATAGGGAGTTCTGCACAGGGTGTCATCGCTGACGTTAATGTCATCCCCAATTGCAAGGCTTGAGCAATTGAGCTTCTGGAGATTCCATCCACACGAGGGAGCGGACAAGGAGGGTGGGGAAGGGGGGGCACACACAAGGAGGAAGACTAGACTCGTGAACAGTTGCACGGGGCTGGACAGAGGGAGAGCCGTGTTTTGAGTCGACTCAAAACACGGCTCATTCTGAGTCGACTCAAAACACGGCTCATTCTGGGTCGACTCAAAACACGGCTCATTCTGAGTCGACTCAAAACACGGCTCATTCTGAGTCGACTCAAAACACGGCTCATTCTGAGTCGACTCAAAACACGCTCATTCTGAGTCGACTCAAAACACGGCTCATTCTGAGTCAACTCAAAACACGGCTCATTCTGAGTCGACTCAAAACACGGCTCATTCTGAGTCGACTCAAAACACGGCTCATTCTGAGTCGACTCAAAACACGGCTCATTCTGAGTCGACTCAAAACACGGCTCATTCTGAGTCGACTCAAAACACAGCTCATTCTGAGTCGACTCAAAACACGGCTCATTCTGAGTCGACTCAAAACACGGCTCATTCTGAGTCGACTCAAAACACGGCTCATTCTGAGTCGACTCAGAACACGGGGGCACACACAAGCAGGAAGACCAGACTCATGAATGGTTGCTCGGGGCTGGACAGAGGGAGAGAGAGCAGCATCAGTACAACCACAGCTTGAGAGAGCAGTTTCACGCGGTGCGATTGTGTGATGGTGCGCGACGTGGGCGGAAGCTATGTGGTGATGGTGTTGCGAGGCACTAGTGGCGAACGCACATTGACGCGTGATGCAGGTTGATTCACCAACTAGTGGGTGAGCACCGACCATTTGATACCGGTTGAGTTCAGCCCACCGGGCTAAGCTGAGTGAAGATGGCCGCCAATCATGAGGCGCCTAAAAAATACACTAGCGGCAAAGGCACAGCGATGCCTGGTGGCGTCTTGCGGCTTCTGAATCACCCACAGGGTTAAGCTGAGTGAAGTTGGCCTCTGACATGCCAAATGTGGACCGCACACTGTGTGATGCTCGTGCGGCAAGGCACTAGTGGCAGAGACACATTGATAAGTGGTGGCACTAGTGGGTGGCGGCTTGCTTTGAGCGCACCGGATTGAGCAGAGTGAAATTGGCCTCTGACATGCCAAATGTCGACCGCACAGTGTCACATGTCAGCCCTGGCACCACGTGGACCTCTGAGGGAGTGACACCTGGCATGGAAGGAGAGGAGGGAGGGGTGGGTCACATGAATGTAAGTAGAACCATGATCTCCAAGCCTTTGACATGGTAACATCTTGTGCGGTGAGAAGAAACGAGCAGGAACGAGAGCATTACCTGGCACGAGAGCAGTACCTGGCACGCAGACAGGGGTTTCATCAGGTCTCTCGTCCGTCACAAAGCCCAGCGGACACAGGAATTTGTAGCCTCCTGCGCCATCATCCAGGCCTACCTTTCCCTGGTACACACAGAGGGGTTTCTGGCCTAGCTGTACATAGTAGGGTTTTGCACGTGAGAAGAAGCGAGCAGTACCCACCTGGCACGCAGACTGGGGTTTCATTGGGTCGCTCATCGGCCACAAACCCTGGTGGACACAGACAATTGTAGCCGCCCGCCCCGTCATCGAGACACGTGCCCACCTGGCATGGGTTGGCTGCTGACATGGCGCACACGTGGACTGGCAGAGGGAGGGGTGGGAGGCAAGAAAGAGAAGGCAGATGGGGAGGAAAGAAAAGGGAGAAAGATGGAGAGGGGAATGGGGTGGACGGGAGAATCTCGAGGAAAGAGGGTAGAGGGGAGAGGAGGCAGCAAATTTAGTGCTGTCATTCCATTAGAGGGAGAAACTGTAGGCTATATTGATTTCCTTTAGTGAACACAGTTCACATGTGCATGTATATTATTGCACAAATTTTGAGTGAATTTATTGCTGCCATATTGACTAAATGCACATGTGAACTGGCAAGATGGTGGGAAAGGGGAATGCATGTCTTGTTAAAACCCTGATGTCTTCCATGCGTATTGATTAAGGAGGGGGGATTGTGGTTGTTGCTACCGTCTAGCATGTCTTGCTACCATTCTCTTCCTGCTCACCGGGAATGCATGTCTAAGACCCATCGATGTTCCTGGCAGTGCTGAACCCAGGTGCACACACACACTTGCTAGAAGAGAGTCAGGGGCAGAGAGGCGGGATTTGTGGGTTGTGTTACCTAACGTACACTTCTCTTTCTGCTCACCCGGAATGCATGTCTCGGACCCATCAATATTCTTGGCAGTGGTGAACCCAGGCGCACACGTGCACTTGCTCTTCCCCGCGCGGTTGCTGCACTTGCCGCTGCCACACGGGTTGATGGGTTGACACGGGTGCGAGCCTGCCACCACTGGGTATAAGGCAGGAGTGGTGTTGATGCCGCAGATGCCGTTGCCTGTGTCTGGGGGTTGGGGGGGATGGAGGGAGGGACAAACTTTGAGGCGCCTCAGGCCTTGCCGCTTCCACACGAATTGATGCACTGACAGGGTGTGATTCACAGGCAGGACTGCTGTTGATGCCACATATGCCATCGCCTCTGTGTGGAGGGTGGGGGGGAGTGGAGAGATGGATAGGGATAAGGTATGGGCAATGAGAGTTGGGTGGTGCTTGTGGGGTCTTTTAGGTGGTAGGGGTGACTGGACTGGACCTCAGTCTGGCCTAGCAAAACTTTTATAAAAATAAGTTCAGATTATGAGAGAGTTTTTCTTCATCATGCCTTGCAACACACACCACTGACAACAACCCCCGGATATGACAGGGAATCACTTGGGCTATTTTGTGTCCATTTTCTTCAATGCGAGAACTTACTAATGCAACCAGAGGAGACGAGCACCTGCTTCAATAGCCATTTGCATGAGACCGCCCTTGCCCCAGGTGGATCCCCAGGTGTTCAAAGAAGCAAAGTATACGTCGCTTCGTTTTGTTCTACACAAAAAATAACCACAAAAACCAGAGGAAAAAGGTACCTGCTTCGATGGCCATCTGCATGAAGCCGTCCTCGCCCCAGGTGGATCCCCAGGTGTTTTGGAGGATAAAGTAGGGCGTCACTCCCACCGTGCTGTACCCCACCAGCAGCACTATGTGATTCACCACTCCATTCGCGAAGCAATCTGGATCCGCGTAAACGAAGCCCTGAAGGGTGTGGAGTTGAAGAGGAGCGAGATAAGAAGGCCGTACCAACATAAAGTTTCTAAAGTCGACTCCAACGCAATCTGAATCCACGCAAACGAAGCCCTGAAGAGTGTGGAGTTGAAGGAGGGCGAGAGCAAAAAGAGGTCTGATCGACACAATGAACCCCTGGAAACATCTTACGTCCAAGGTCTTACGATTATTTAGGCTCCTAAAAAAAACTGATCCACACAATGAACCCCTGGGAACATTTTACTTCAAAAGGTCTTACGACTCCCACTGCCTTGATTCTTTTCCCCACTCGTTACGTTTACCTTCCCCGCACGATGCTACCCTCCTGTTCTTCCCCATGCATAGTCTGTTCTTTCTGATGTGGTAGCTCGTGAGGAGCATCATCCTGCACGATGCTAACCCCGTCCTTCACACACTAGTACATTCTGGACAGCTCTAAAGATATTGCACCACTTACAACTTGTCCTCGCTCAATCGCTTACAACTTCGCCACTAACTCACCACCTGGTAGTTGACAGGGGAGAGCTGTTCTGCCTCCTCGTTGACTTTTGAGTCGACTCAAAAGACAACTTATTCCTCTCTCAGTTCAAAGTATTGAGACAACTCACCCCCTGGTAGTTGATAAAGGAGAGTTGATCCGCCTCCACGTTGGCAATGATTGGCTGCGCCTGCAGCGCCAGCACCATTCCCAGCCAACCGGGGATCGACACCTGTCACTCACAGTGGCAGCACACGAAGAGGCACCGGAGCAGCACAGGTAAGTGAGGAGATGTGTGATGAAACACTACAGATGGGTCGAGTGCGGTGACAGGGGGTTCAAATCTATTGACCCACGTCTACAAGTTTATCGAGCGCACCTGTTCGAACATGGAGATGGAGAAGCGGCCAGAGAGGGGGTGGATGCCGGGCGGTTGAGGTGGAAAGGCAGGGGGAGGAGGGGAGGAGGACGGGGGAACCGAGGTGGTGGGGGGCAGCTTGGGCGGCTGGGTTGGTCTTCGGAGCCGGTGGAAGAGTTGGGAGAAGAGGGAGGAGAGGGAGGGGGAGAAGTGCGTGTGCTTGTCGTCGTCGTCTTCATTCTTCGTAATTGGAGTTGAGGCTGCTGGCGTTCGGCCTGCTGACGTGGATGCTGACATGGATGCTGATGTGGGCACCGCACGCGCAGCTGCCGCCCGAACCATAGCCTGCCGGCCTCTGCCAGCAGCAACAGGTTTGGAAGGTGACCGCACTCCCCTCGTTCGTGATTTGGCAGGCCTGGCAGGAGGTCCGGCAGCAGGCTTGGTGGCTTGCGCTGCAGCCTTCTTACTCTGCAGCTTCCATGGCCCGGAAGCTGGCCCGGTGGGAGGTGCGGATAGAGCCTTGGTGGGAGGTTTGGTGGTAGGCTTGACAGCTGCAGGTTGTGGTTTGGACTCACGTGAGTTGCGCTTGGCAGCAGCTGCAGGCTTCGAACTTGCTGGGAGAAGCTGAAGGGGGAGGGACGGGCAGGAGAAAGAGGGCAAGGAGAGGCCAAAGGCAGGTGGCTCCTCATTTCCTCTCTAAGCAGGAAGCAAATTTCCGTAATCAATGCTTTCAGAGTGTGCCCAGGAGGACCAACATTAACTTGCACACACATGCCCACCTTGCAGTCACTCGCGTTCACCACTCCCGAATACGGCACTGCTTTCTCCGGCGATACCCCTCCCACAGCAGCCACAAACTGGAACGCGTCCGCCGGGATGCCACCTGTGCACTGCCACGTGCCCTGACAGCTCAGCACTTGTTGACTGGACAGGTTGGGATGGTTGGCGCCGTATGCTATTGCATAGGCTGCCTCTATTGCTGCTACCGGCACCAGAGCCCAGCAGGCAGCTGATTGGGGGAGGGGTGCGGGTTGGAGAGGGGAGTGGATATACTGAAGAGAAAGAACGGCGGAATAGTTAGCATGCATGCGTAGGAGCGCATTCAATTGACGCCATTGCTTCCTTTAAACCGCTTCATTGCATCTTAAGTCACCAGCACCAGAGCTACACCATTTGTATCCTTTCTTGGCTATTCACACCGTCCACTCCTTCACTGCTCATCTACCCTTCCCCACCACCCAACTCCCCATCACTCTCACCACCCGAACCTCACCACTCACCTCCCCTCCTTCATCGCCCACCTCCCCTCCTTCACCACTCACCTCCCCTCTTTCACTCACCACTCACCGCACAAGCCCTGGAGTTCCATCAAAACGTTCTAAAGTGACTCAAACTACCCAAACCAGAGGTGCACCATTCACATCACATTCTAGCTATTCAAAACCCGGTGACCCCTCCCTCACCACTCACCGCACAAGCCTTGGTCTTTTCACAAGAGACACCACCGTCACGCTGCGCCCGTGCACCGTGCACGAGCACCACCCCCCGCCAGTCCACCGCCTCTCGGCACTCCCAAGGGGGCTGCGGGGCCGTGCCGTTGAACCCCAGGCTGACGTGCTTCCATCAATCCGTTTCAAGCGACTCGCACCACCGCCACCAGAGCCGTCACACCCCATTCTAGCAATTGACACACTCGCATTCGCTCCCTCACCACTCACCGCACAAGCCTTGGTCTTTCACCGGAGGAACCACCGTCACATTCCTCCCTCGTACTAGCACCAGCCCGCGCCAGTCTACCGCCTCTCTGCATGCCCAAGAGGGTTGGGCAGCAGTGCCGTTGAACCCCAGGCTGACGTGGCGGAAGAAGCGGTTAAAGCGCGAGGGGGTGGTTGCCGGCACGGCCTTGAAGTCCCGGTCTCTCAACCCCGGCCGGTGGCGCTGCTTCTGTGGGTCGTCTGAGGGGGAGGGGGGAAGCGATACGAGGAGAAAGGGTGTTTCTAGCACGGCCTTGAAGTCCCGGTCCCTCAACCCCGGCCGGTGGCGCTACTTCTGTGGGTCGTCTGCATGAGGAGAAAGGCGAGATGGGGAGAAAGAAAGGGAGCTGACACCTGAGTCAGTTTGATCGTGATAAGGGGTGGTTGCACGCATGGCCTTCAAGTCCCTGTCGCTGAACCCGGTGTTGTGGCATGGCACTCCTTGAGTGGGATGTCTGAGCGGAGGGAACAGGAGAGATGGGGAGCAGGGAAAGTCACACACAAACACAGACACACTCGCACACACACGCACACAGACGCACACACAGACTCACACGCGCACACAAACACACACACACACACTCACACACACACGCACGCACGCACCCACCCACACCCACACACACACACACACGCGCGCGCGCGCGCGCACACACACACACACGCACGCACGTACGCACGAAAGCACGCACGCATGCACGCACGCACGCACACGCACACACACACACACACACACACACACACACACACACACACACACACACACACACACAGGGACACACATCACGGCTTACCTCCATCCAATGGTATGTCTGGTGGAAAGGGAGGAGGCGGATTCTCAGGCTTGGTCGCCGAACAAGTAGGGTAACCACCCCCTTTTGACTCCACCGTATCCTCATAATACCCCTCCTCACACTCACACACGGGCACTCTTGAGGGCCCCTTGAGAAAGCACCTCCCGTGCCCTCCACACACTCCTTGGACACTACCTACCCCACAAAACGCCAAACACCCCCCCTGCTTCCGCTGCCTCCCGTCCCCCTCGCACCCCCCCCCTCCTCTCGGGTTGAGGCAGTTTCCTCGCACTGAACCGTACTGAGACGGGCTATAAGGGAGCAGATTCGCTGCTGCGAACCCTCCCTGCTGGTCCTCCGGGCAGAAGGAAAGCTTTCCAGCCGAGATTTCGGCACGGGCAGACCCTGTGAAGAAGTTTTTTTCGACGTTGAAAGTGGCGAGAGGGTGAGAGGCGAGGGAGGGGGAAGCGAAACCCGAAGGGAGGGGACCAGCGAACTCGTTATTGGATATGTCCCTGTTAGGGAAATGCGGGCAAGGGAGGGGTGGGGAGGAGCTGTTTGTTTATCGGATTTCCCAAAACCAAAACCAGCGAACTCATTGTTTGATTGCATATGTCCCTGTGAGGGGGAACGGGAAAGGGAGGGACTTGATATTGTTTCGAAGCAACTCGTTACTGGATATGTTCGTGCGAGGGGTAAACGGAGGGAAGGGAGGCTGGAAATGGGAGTTGTGATGGCTGGAGCAGGACCGATGAATAGAACTGGAGGCAGTTTGGGGGAGAGAGGAGGTGGAGGGAGAGGAGAAGGTTGAGGAGGGGACGGAACCCAATAGGCCAGTCATTGTTACAGTGGGGGAGAGGGGTGGGGTGGAAGGGAGGGAGGGTGGGGGTGGGGGGTGGGGTTGGTTAAAGGGTTTGCAGAAATTCGTTGAGGTGGCCTTGAGGCAGATTGTCAGTTGTTGAAAAACGGGTGTTTTTTTAGAAAACCTTCCTATTTGAGAATCCGAACGACTGTAGTCTGTAGGCATTCGAGAACAACCATGCGAGCGCCATCCGCAGCCCACCTGTCTTCTACTGACAGCTCCTGCACCGTCCGCGCAAAGAGCATTGTGAACCGAGTGCAAGGTAGCACACGAGGCGAGCAAGAGAGAACGAAGTAAGCCTATCCAGGGTTTCGACGAGAATCTCAGCCCAACGTACAAGTAGACAAGAGTGGGCAGGTTGAAAAGTGATGGCGGCAGGTCGCCCGAAAGGCGATTCATGCTCAAGTCCCTGGAAGTGGGGGAGATGCACAGACGGATGGAGAGCCGTGCTGTGTGAGCGGGGCGGGGAGGCAGTGTTGGTGGAGCAGCTGTGCGGGAAGGAGGGAGTGCCTGTGAGGGAAGGAAGGAGTGCCTGTGAGGGAAGGAAGGAGTGCCTGTGAGGGAAGGAAGGAGTGCCTGTGAGGGAAGGAAGGAGTGCCTGTGAGGGAAGGAAGGAGTGCCTGTGGGGAAGGAAGGAGTGCCTGTGAGGGAAGGAAGGTAGTGCAAGTGGAGCAGCTGTGACGGAAGGAAGGAGTGCCTGCCAGCGGTCGCTGGGAAAGATTGATGGCTGCTGGTGCAAGGCAAAGGGACAAGAGTTAGGCGGGTGTGCGAGTTTGAGTCAGGGGATGCAAGGAAGCGAGCAGGCAGGGATAGCCTGTGCAGGAAATTAAAAGAAGCAAGCAGGTGGGGTTTGGAAGCCAAAGAAGAAGCGCCACCGATGCCGCATGGTACACACACAAATGCCTGAACGAAGAACATGCACTCAACATGTCTATCAGCCACACCACACCTCCTCTCCACCACCACATTACTGAACAATCCTGTCAATGGTTTACCACTCACTCTGTAATACACATGGTACCACGCGGTTTAAGACATTCCCTGCTAGGCACCCCACTTACAGCGCCTCAAGAGTTGTGATGCTCCCCAGCCCAGCTGGGATTGTCTCCGACAGCTCGTTGTCACTCAGAAGGCTGCGGTACAAATGCATACGGGCACAACTCAGTCCTTGAGGCATGGTCACAGTGAGTCCACCTTTGACCGTACTGCCGCAACAGACGCAGCACCAGAAATCGTCAATGCACATGCATACACATGTACACCTTCACACTACATGTGTCTGCAAGGACACGGGCGCACACACTAACGAGTACTTGATGATAAGAAGGTAGGGGTGTCTCAAAAGCAGTACAAGTGCACTTTACGCCTCACCAGAAACTAGGACTCACAGGTACTTGAGGGCTTGGAGGTTGGAGAGCGGGGCGGGAATGGGTCCTGACAGCTCGTTTCTGCCCAGAGACCTGACAGGGATTGGGGTTCGGGTTTTGGGTTTCCGGTTCAGGGTTTGAGGTTTAGGCTTTCGGGTTTGGAGTTCGGAATTTAAGTTTTGAGGTTTGAAATGAGGTATGGTGTTTCGGGTTTCAGGTTTAAGGTTTCGAGGTAGGGTTTAGCAGGGTCCTCAAAAAGCTTTTGTTAAGAACACATGCGGCCTCACATGCTGTACAATACATAGTTGCAAGCATTGTATTGGTCGTTTTTGCATCATGCTTACAATAGGGTTAGTTGGGTCAGATTCCCTATAGCATCCAGGAGAGCCCTCTACACGTGGAGCCTCACTCACATGTTGGATGTCAGTTGGTCCTAGGGTTTACAGCAGGGTCTCACATGTTATCATGTCATGCTTACAGCAGGGTTAGTTGGGTCAGGTTCCCTATAGCATCGAGCAGAGAGCCCTCTAACGAGTTTTCGTTGAGCTTTCTGAAGAAGAACGGAGGAGGGAATGGAAAGAAGGAAGGTGGAGGGGGGGGAGGGGGGGGGGGGGGGGGGGGGGGGGGGGGGGTTGATGTTGAGAGGGATTGGAGAAGTAAAAATCGTTTGGCACTTGGAAGATTAGCAGACAAAAAGAAAGGAGAACGAGACAAAGCGGTGGGGAGAAAGTTGCACTTTGGAAGTTGTGATTCACGCGATGTGGTGGAACGAGGCGATGTGAGCAAGTAATGAAGGGAACCTCTCAGACGAGTCAGACTTGCCACGGTCACTGCGAGCGATCTCGTCCCGCATGGGGCCACGTGGCGTACGCGTGGCCCCATGCGGAACGAGCGCATCAGCATTCGCTGTGGATGTGCGTGAGCGAGACCCACAGACCCACAGTTGTTGAAGCGACGTGAGCGTGAAGAGCGCGGACGGAAGCGACCCTTCCAGATTCCCGTTGCTGAGGTCCCTGTGGGGAGTTGGGGGCAGGGGCGAGGGATATGAAGGCTATTTTGAGTCGACTCAAAGTCATCATGTCGAAGCGACATGAGCGTGAAGAGCGCGGACGGCAGAGACCCTTCCAGATCCGTGCTGCTGAGGTCACTGTGGGGGGAGCGGGAAGATGGCGGGGCGTTGGTGATTTGCGCTGACTCAAAGTCAACGGACGACAGTCAACGGACGACAGTCAACGGAGCGGGGAGTGGCGGATTGGGGAGCGGGGAGACGGCGAATCAGGAAGTGGGGAGACGGCGGATTGGGGAGCGGGGAGATGGCGGATTGGGGAGCGGGGAGTGGCGGATGAGGGAGCAGGGAGAGTTGAATGACAAATGAGGTAACGCAGTTGAGTGAGAAAAACGAGGGGATAAAGTCAATCCCCCTTGCGTTATAGCTTCCCCGTTTTGTTGAAATATTGCGCGTTGCAATAGCTGGCTGAAAACTCACACGGTTGTAACAAACCCCTCCTTATCGCACGACACGCCACTCCACTTCGAGCAGTCCCAGCCATCCTGCCACGTGGCAGTGGTAACAGAGGGCCACGTGGCGGCGATTGATTGGAGCGCGGGCACTGTCCTCCAGGCGGCGGCATGGGAGGGCGGTGCAGAAGGGGAGTGGGGGGTTGCGGAGAAGGAGATTGGGGGGTGGGGGAAGTGGGTGAGGGGGGTAAGTTACGCAAAGGGCCCGTGTACCCCAAGGTTCACAATGGGGATACCCCAGTGAGCGTTACCCCTAGGACTCCGATTCTCTTGTGACAAATGTGAATGGGAGGGCGGAGACAGTTTGAAAGGGGAAGGGATGTAGGAGAGGAACAGGCATGCGTGGGAGGAGGGCGGAAGAAGCCGCAGCGCGCGGAAGAAGCCGCAGCGCGCGGAGAAGGGCGGAGAGGAGGGGAGTGGAGGCAAGGAGCAGAGAAATCTTACGTTGCGACTCGTGCACCAGTTGAGCCGACACTAGATGGTACCTCCCCCCGCAGGCTGCCACTGCTACCGTCATCGCAACCAGCAGGCGCAACAGGCGATCGAGCCAGTTCGTCAAACCCCATCTACTCGAGAGCCCCCTCGATTGGACCTTAATTGCGAAGGTCCTCATTCTGAGCCGCCTCACTACCAGAGCCTGAAGCTGCCTCGATCCCCGTTGCTGATCCGCGAATGACGTCGGAAGTCGCGCCCAAAGGCACGGCCGGGGACGCGGCAAGAGGAACGGCGAGGGAGGCGGTGTCCGCGTTGCGCTTTCTACCGCGCCGCAGAGTCTGGGTGAGCGGCGGTGCTGGCGCCATGCTGCATTCGGCGATCGTCTCGGCGATCGTCTCGGCGACAATTTTCCTGGATGTAACCCTTTTGCCTGTTTCGCCAAGAATTTGCTGTCGTCTTTTACAGCATGGTGGCCAGGACGACACTTTTCTGCCATAAAGCTCTACCTGCACAGGTCGACGTGATCAGGCGTACACCAATGGCTCGCTAGCGTATCTCTCGCCAAGCGAGTGTTCGCCGCTAGTAAGCTATCATCATGTTACTAGAATGTTGCTTTGCTGTACAAGCCGCGGGAACGAAGTGCTGCTCTCCGAGCGGCAGACTCCGAGTCTACGACAAAGCGTTGCAAGCCCAATGCGCCTACAAGAGTTCCATATTACTCGCTCCTAAGCGGTTATTATAATCTCGTCGCCGCTTCTGCTCGCACCGTCCAGCCGACGTCGCGTTCGAGCGGCAAAGCTATTTCACTAAAGGAAAGTTTGTAGGAAGATATTTCGCTTCTGCTGAAGGAGAGTATGTAGTGCTAACGCTGAAACAACAATCGAAATCAAAATAGGTATGTCGGAGGGTCCTTCACTACTGTTAACGCGCGTCGTCACAGTGCTACAGAACGACTCGTTCTAGGAGATAGGCAGATTAGGCGGTTGGCGCTCCGCGAATGGCTATGGTGCCCGACAGGGTGGATAATGAAGCTTGCCTCCGCGATTGCTGGTAAACGGCGACAACCAGCTGAGTCTGGTCAACGCTTTTCGGAGAGCGGTATTGGAACCAGATGGGCAAGTGAACAGCGACCAGACTGGTCAACGACACTAAATTGCATTGTTCGGTCCACTTTCGTAAAAACGAGGGTCTGCTGCTCAGTGTAACGCAGGAGGGGCTTTGCTATGCCAAGGCCTGTGCCTCGGCCCGCGAAGCCGTTTATAGACGATGACGGAACGGAGCGCGTGGCCTTACTTGTTTATGCTCGTCTATTTCATACCGAGGAACGCAACTGACGGAGGGGAAATATGCTCGACAGTCAGTCAGGGAGGAGCGTGAAGTCGAGCAGGCCCACATCCACTGCCCGTTTGCAATTGTGATTGGCAAGGAGACCAGTTCGGTTCGGACATCAGACTCTGGGTTCGCGAGATTCAAATGTCGGTGGATTGTGCGGTGCGGTATTTCTGACGAGGCGTCTGGCACAAAAATCTTGAAATTGAAGTAAAGGATTAGTGTAAGGAAATTCCCTTTTCCTTCGCATCCCTGCTCAACGCGTACATCACTGTAGCACCTCAGTCAGCACCGTTACCACTCGCGATCATCGCACCGATAATCATCCCGCCATTTTCGCGCATCGCATCCCGACCTCACGGCTCGGCTGGTAACCCGCGCTCCGGGCCTACGCTTCGACACTTTCCCAAACCTCAGTCCCAGGCTCGTCGCGCGACTACCACAGACCATTACCGTTACCACTGTAGTTTCGCTATATATTCTTCGCTCATGCCTTCGCTCATTGGACTCTTGCTTCGATAGTGCAATTCTCGTTCGTTCCCTCAATTGCACTCGTAACACTTGGTATTCAGAGCCTACGATCCCATCTCGGACCGCATCCACACCTTCGCTTCCCCACTATCTCAATTTTTCGGGGGGGGGTAGACGTCTCTCAGCGATACAGCGCCGCCGCTCGTAGTGCTCTCACGCAAGCACGCACGGCCACGACCGAGGCTCTCGCTGAGCTTGCCCGACACCCCCGCCATGGCCGATTTCACGCTCGCCACATTGACGCAAGAGCAACTCGATCGTCTCGTGCGTCAACTGGAGGACTCGGCGCTCGAAATCGCGACTCTCACGGCGGAACGTGACCCCGCCCGTCAACAGTCTACGATGAACGCACCAACAAACGCAGCTGCACATTCGGATGAGCCGATTGTAATCTCGTCCGGCACACCAACACAACATGACAGCACGGGACAACGCTCAAGCGCAGCCAGTGAGGGCGCCGCCCAGCCGATGCCGGGCATGGGAGGAAACAGGATCGCACCAAGCCCACGGGAGCCTCGAGAAGCCCGTCGGCACGTGGAATTTGCGGCGACAAGTGGCGAACACTCCAGCATGGCACCAATGCCGCTCAAGCCGCAACGCCCGCCCTGCTTCGACCCAAGTCAACGCGGCGGTCCGACAGTTCAATCGTGGGTCTTCACGATGAACGTTTTCTTCGACGCCAATTACGTCGAGTCCGACGCCGCAAAAATCCGGTATGCGGTTTCACTGCTAAGGGGCCCCGCCATGGACTGGTGGCGAGTCATCGTGACGTCGCCACGCGCCTACGAGCCACCGTCGCACGAGGAAGGGCCCTCGGGCCCAGCTGTCACCTGGAGTTCGTTCTACGAGACCGCCCAATACAGCACGTGAGATGCGTGGTGCGCAGGGCTTCGGGCGCGTTTTGAGCCGATCGCGGCTTCAATTTCGGCGCGTCAGAAACTGCGCACTTTGCGCTAGCTCGGGTCAGTTCAAGACTACACCAGCGGTTTTCTCGCACTTTACGAGCAGGTCGGCTACATGCACGAAGCGGAGCGGGTGGACCGTTACGTCGGAGGGCTGAAGACGGATATCTCGCACGAAATAATGCTGCGCGGACTCTCTAATTTCAACGAGATTCTTGCGCTCGCCGAGAAGATCGACATTCTACGCCGACCGAGACCGGGGTCCTACTACGGACATCGCCCTCGGGGACCGACCGAGCACGCCACTGTACATGTCGTTGCAACAAATGCAGCTGCCGCACCATTTAAGGGGCGCTGCTTTGCTTGCAACAGGCCGGGCCATCGCAAGAGCGAATGCCCAGAGGAGCTGAGGCGCCGAGGAGCAGAGCAGGGGAGGGAGTCTCAGAGGCAGGGAAACGCCAGCAGTCAGTAGAAGTTGGGCCAACTACTGACGAGACTGCTTGCTCGCCCAACCACACCGACCCTCACCGAGTCACAGTACCGATTCACGCCATCGATCGGGCTCGGATGAATAAGGAGGGTACAGCGACGGATTGCCCGGTACTGATCTACGGGAAAATACAGGGAGCAGCAGTGAAGATTTTTATTGACGGAGGAGCAAGTCACAGCTTAGTTAATACCGCAACCGCACGGAAATTACAGTTAACACTTAACCGATGCTTACCGGAGATAGACGCACGCTTAGTCGACGGAACACCACAGGCCATACGAGAAAAGGTGGAGCGCGTAAAAGTCCGCTGCGGAGGGAACTTCGGGTTTACACAGGAAATGCTCGCAATGACACTGGATGGGCACGGCATTTTATTGGGACGTGATTGGCTGCGACGGTATAACCCACGAATTGACTGGACGACGGGTAGCTGCACAGTGCGAAGTAGTGGTAACTGGGTCGTCCTACCTCGCTGGCAGCCACCCGAGTCTACGACGGTCCAGGTCAACGCCATCACGATGAAACGGGCTGTCGCTGCTGGAGCTGACGTGTACGCAGTAGATATAGCATTAGTAGAAAAAGAGGAGCAGCAGAACGATTTTCAGAAACTGTTGGCAGCTGTACCACCCGAACTGCAGGCACTACTGAAACGGTTCCCGGGTATTTTTCCGGATGATTTACCGCAAGGGCTGCCACCTCAGCGGGCGCATGACCATAGGATCGAGTTAGAACCGGGGGCACAACCAACTGTACAGCGCCAGTTCCGACAGACACAGCCAGAGCTCGACGAGCTAAGGAAGCAGTTAGATTACCTGTTAGAGAAGCAGTTTATTCGACCGAGCTCGTCACCGTTCGCCGCACCGATACTGTTCACACTAAAAAAAGACGGAGGATTTCGCATGTGCATCGACTACCGAGCACTTAACAGGGTAACAGTCAAATCGCGGTACCCCATCCCCCGCGCCGACGAACTGATCGACCAGCTGCGAACAGCACGGGTATTCTCGAAAATCGACTTACGCGGGGGTTACCACCAGATTCGGGTCGAACCATCGGACTGCGCCAAGACGGCATTTCGGACTAGGTACGGGTCATTCGAGTACACAGTGATGCCTTTCGGGCTGACCAACGCGCCTGCAACATTTCAGATGACCATGAACGAGGCGTTTAGGCCACTTTTAGATAACTGCGTCATAGTTTACCTCGACGACATCCTCGTTTACAGTCGGGACCAGTAGCAGCACTTAGTCGATCTCGAAGCAGTTTTTAAAATTTTAGAGACACATTGGTTATTAACCAAAGGCTCCAAGTGCGAGTTTTTTCGGGACAGACTAGAGTTTTTAGGTCACGTCATTTCGGAGGCTGGGGTTGAGATTGACCCTAAGAAGCTAGATACGGTAAAAGCGTGGCGTTCCCCGACGAACATCACGGAACTGCAGAGTTTTTTAGGGTTTGTTAATTACGTTCGTCGGTTCGTCCCCGACATGGCACGCTTAACAGCCCCGCTCACTGATTTACTACGTAAGGGGGTCCCTTTTACGGGGGGGAGAAAGAGCATGCTGCCTTCTCTACCCTAAAAAATGTTCTCTGTTCACCACCCGTCCTACGCATCGCTGACCCACACCGCCCCTTCGAAGTTGTTACCGACGCAAGCGACATCGCCATCGGAGCTGTACTGTTACAGGACTTCGGCAACGGCCTCCAACCCATCGCTTACGAATCACGCAAGCTTCATCCACCTGAGCGAAATTACCCGATACACGACCGCGAAATGCTTGCGATCGTGCATGCATTCAAAGTGTGGCGCTACTACTTGACCGGCGCAGACGTGACAGTACGGACAGACCATCGATCCCTACAGTACCTTTGCGCACAGCCC